TCAAGTTTCAACTTGTCTTTGTAACCCAAAAAATACTTGTGTGTGTATATATATATATAATAAAATAAACTTTAAAATTAGAAGCCCTTTAGAATTGGAGACGCTAAGCTCTTACTTAGTTTTGCAAATGCAAATGGTAGAGTCGGTCCTAACACCACCTTTATCTAGACAAGGAAAAAATTATTCTCCCATCGGCAATGGGTTGTTTAACTGCAAAAAGGAAGGAGGGTGTTTGGCAGAGATGGAGCTCGATGATCCCCCAACTTTAGAGATTCAGTTTTGGATTTCCCCAAATCTTTTGAGTTCAACGTTTTTTCTTCATGCATTTAATGATTGATCACCCGGACGTCCTCAACATCTCAGCTATTAGACTTTGTTCTAAATTCTTGATTAAATATCATGTAGATAGTTGTGGGTTAAATATATTTCTAATAGAGTTGACTAATACTAAGATATGGTGAGATCATTATTATCTTATACTAATAGAAGTCTATTATTTAAAAGCTTGTAATAAATCGTGCCTCTACTATGTCTCAAGAGATACTACATCAAGTAATGAATAAGTGTAGAGGAATAAAAAAATGTACAAAAAATGCTTATTCGAATTAGTAAGAAAGCATGTGAACCGTAGATTTGATAATAGGTACAGAAAAATAATTGTTGATCGTAAAAATATCATTTCAAGCATGGGAGTCTGGGAGAATGAGAACCATGCGAGGAAGGATCGAAACTTATTTCGCAGTAGGGACTACAGGCGTAACATTTGTAAATCTCAGGGTTAAATTTCAATAAAACAAAATGATTTTTGAACAATATCCACTTCATTTACCAGTCACGAGTTTTTTTTTTTTAAATGTTCAAACAATTGGGGACGAGACCCACGATCTAGGTCTCACAATGCCGACGGGAGGCAAATCGAATGGGCGACCACAAGTACAAATTTCACGATGGTAGTGATCGATCGATTACTCACAGTGATGGCTTATGAACGAAACGGAAATAGCGAAGGCAGGAGGAGTCCGATGGATGTCGGTCGCTTATAGACTGAGGAAGTGTCTCCGGAGTCGACGAGTCCGAAGCATCGAGTTCGTGCTCCGTCTCGTCCGGCTGTGAGTTGCGAAGGAAGGAGACTCGATGGCTGCTGATCTTTCGTGGATCGATTCGAAATCGGTGATGGCCTCCGAGGTTCGACTTAGGCCGAAGAAGGGGAAGGGGAAAGAAGCAGCGACGCTTCTGTGGGGTTGGTGAAAGGGAGTGAGAAGCGAGGACAAAGGAGGTCTCGGTCTTTGGCCGGTCGCGAAGGCCGTTAACAGGCGCTGATCAAGGGTGTTTGGGGGTTGTCCTCGGAGGAAGATGAAGAGGAGTGTTGCTCCGACCGACAACGGGTTCTTTTCCATTTTGTTTTTGTTTGAATATTTGATAGAAATCAAAGGAAGGAATTTGTGTTTGGTTTGATGTTTAATAGGAAAATATGAAGGATGAACATATGGAAGTTGTTCTTTTTGGTTGGTCACCAACAGATGAAGAACAGAGAAGGTATGGAGTGTTGATTCATTAATGAGTTTTTAAAAGGAAACACACGTTTCTTTTGTGTGTAATTCAATAGAAGCTTTGGTGTGTAAAATTGGTTTTGGTTTGATTATTTGAATCTCCGTAGATGCAGATGGACATCAAAAGATAGAGATAGAAGAAGGGGTAGAGTGTTAGGGATTTTTGGTTAACTTTTAGTGTTCAATTTTGGTCATGTATCCATTTTTTTTCGTTGTACTTGTTATACTCAAAAGTATTTGGATAATTTTGATAAGGTCCATATCATACGTGTATTTGAGTATGTATTAATGTACATTCTTAATTGTTTAAGTATTTTATGCATTATATTCTTTACCTTGCATGTATTATTGGTTGTTTTCCTATTGTATACGGTTGTATATTTACGGCTTTTACAACCATTTCTTGATAATTATAATCTATTTTCATTTGTCATCAATTTGTTATATAACTTATATAATACATGTATGTAAATTTAAACTCAAACCTTAAGAATGTAAAATTTATTAATGTGCTAAACCGTGATCTCTTAAATTAAAATTTTACATATATCTAATATATATTTATGAAAATTTAATCCACCACTTATAATTGATTATGACATATGTCCCACATTCGTATATACATACGTATATAAGTCTATATATGTTTAATGTTGTTATATAATTTTAATTATATAATATCTATGCATTGTGTTTACTTGATAGTATCAGATTGTATATTTTAGAAACACTCTTAGTAAATACGTTTTGCATTTGATCGTAAAACATATATCATACCCGTACATACATACATATACATAGTTGTTCACGAATTTATGAGTGTGAGGCTAATTTCATCGTTAAAATTCACATCAACTGAATATGGACTTATATGTGTTGGAATAAATAGTTTAAGGTTTTGCGATTAATAAATCTTAAAATGTCTTATTTTTTCAATTTTTAGAAATATTTTTACCAAAAATGTTTCAAATATGAAATATTTTTACCAAAAATATTTCAAATATGAAATTAAATATTAGGCTATAGCCTGATCCCAAAAATATTTTCGGACTTTTTTTATTTGAGATGTGCAAGTTCCTTAAAAGATAGAAATGCTTTTAGCGATTTTAAGAAAATCAATATTATATTGGTTTTGGATTCTAAAAACGGTCGTATCATTTGAATACAAACCTCGTTTTGGATTTTCTTTATATTTTCAAAATCAGTGAAAACACGTACTACGAGACTAGAATGTTCGCTTTTCTCACAACTGTTTAATACGAAATTTCAGTTTTTCAGACGTATTCTTAAGGTTGAAGTTTGAGCTGTTTGATTTGTTTTCCATATCACATCTTTGGAAGTAAGATAACATCTGATATCCTATAATAGTTGGAATAACTCATTTATTTTATATTAGATGCACTAAAACTCAATGAGTCAGATTACCAAGAGACTTACAGTGAACTTGACCATTAACAGTATCTGATCTAAAATATGGGATGTCACATTACCTCCTCATTAAGGGAATTTTGTCCAAAAATTATTAAGTTCTAGATTTTTTTTCTTCCACCATCAAAATTTTCTACTAGTATTTCATTTAAGTAGTGGAGAAAGCACCGCCGGAAAATTATAGATACTTTTGTTTCATTTGATCCCTACGTTTCCAAGTAAACTTCGGCTCTATACAAGAGTTTCATCAGGCATTTACTATAGTTATTTGACTTTTCTTGAGGATTTTGATTTCTCGATCCATGATCTTCACCAGTTCATTCATGAAGTGAAGGTTAATGTTGAACTGGATCTCATCGAGAGGAAAGACAAGGTTCTTATTAGAGAGACGTTTTTGAAATTATATATGTGGGACGTGACGTGAACTTTGTTGAGTTATTGAGTTAGATTAAGTTTCTAAGCCACTGGAGTAACCCATTCCAGGATTTCAAAAGGTCTAATGTATCAGAGGGGTTTAATTTATCTCGTTTTCCTTATCTAATGACACCTTTTTATACAGTGACCTTTAGTAGGCCACAGTCTCTTATGTTGAATTCTAAGGATTTGCATCTTAAGTCAACATGGATTTTCTGATGACTACATGCAACAACTAATCTTTCCTTTATCTGAGCGATCTTTTTTTTTTGTTTCATGAATAATCTCAAGGCTAGTAAGTAGAGCATCTACAGCATGCCATTCGATTAACTAGGTATCTCCAACTTCCACCCAACATGTTGTAGGGTTTAGAGCATTCTAACACTCCTAAGGTGTAAATGCAACCCTAGAAACCTTGGATCTATGTTTGTCTAAAATACATGTAAAATTTGACTTCTAAGGTTCTTAATCCTATCTAACATACATGGCACTACTAGAAAAACAGCCTTTTACGATGCTCATTGCGCGTCGTAAAAGGCTCAGACGACAAGGCCCTGTCATAAAGAGAGACGACACGCTTTTGCACGTCGTCTATAGACGACACGCATTTACGACGCTCATTTACGACGCGCAATTACGACGCGCGTTTACGACACGCAATGCGTATCAAGGAAGGCCCTGTCATAAAGAAAGATGACACGCATTCGCATGTCGTAACCTTACGACGCGTGTGTTAATGACACGCAATGTGTATCAAGAAAGCCCCTGTCAAGAAAGGCAATGTCATAAATGAAGATGACACACATTTTTGCGTATCATAATTTTAAATGTTTAAAAAAAAAATTATTTATAGATTTACTTATTTTCAAATTAAATTTGTATTTAATGTTTCATAATAGAAAATAAAATATCATATACAAAAAATAGAATCAATTGCATAAATTTAATGTCATACAAATAATCGTTCCATGGAAAGATGAAACAAATCAATAGAAGTTGTAACAAAAATGTACAAACAAATTAGATACAAAAAATACAATCTATTGCCCATTTGCTTATTCAAGATCAACCTGCAAGTGGCTAACTAATGTGTACAAATTCACCCTTGTTTCTAATCATTATCTGAAATACTTTACAAACGTGATTCATGCATAGTACCTGAACTATAGTTAGTTGCAGCCTTGTTTCTTCTTCTTCTGAACTCATCTCTTGCAACCATTGCTCTAAACCTACTGAATAGATACAACTCCTTGTCAAAACATGTACAACCGGTTTCAATCAAGACACTTAATCAATCAAAAACTTCAACAATTAATTTATTTCCTTATTAAAGTTAGTTCTTTTACAGCTATATGTTTGAAGATATAAAGAAAAAAAATGTTAAAGGAGAATAAGGAAATATTGAATGGTAGAACCTTATTACTGTTATGAACACAATTATTCAAACCAGACTGCCAAATTCTAACAACTTCTCCAACTGTTCTGTTTTCAATCCTGTCAAGCACAATTTTTTCACAAGTAAGGCAAAAGCATGGAAATAAATAAAAGTGGGCTTCTTGAATTATCCTTCATTTTGATAAATATACAAAGTTATATGATGTGTGTGTACCTAATGGGGCCATATCTTGGTCCACGACGGAGTACAACAATGAAACATGATCCCTCTTCATAGCCTCGAATTCCAGTCCTTCAAATTTCCGGAGTGCCATCTTCCTCCTTCAAAACAAGAAATATGGTGTCTTCCTTCTCAATTTGAATAGGAAATGACCATTTTGTGCCTTCATCACGGATCTATTAGATAAACAATATGTATAGAAAATATCACTATAATAAATAGATAAAAATTGTATAATGAAAGAAAGACACACACACACACACGAGGGACCCCTAATCACCTGTAGCTTGCTAGGTTGGTCAGTCTCATGGTAAACAAAGAAGACTCATACATCAGATGCTCGCAACATTCTCGGTTCATCTTCGTTGCCTAGCTTCAAATATATATATCTTGACCAAGTCTATTGGTGAATGTCATAAATGGACGCACACTGATTACCTAAAGTTGACAATGAAAAAGTTTAAGTTCTAAACAAAAATATAAACACATAGGAGACAAATGAAGATCATAAGTTCTGATTACCTAAATTGTTTTACATTCTTGAAATCTGCTTAGAAAACACAATAAATTGTTTGTCCAAAAACATCTTAAGAATAAAGAATAGAGGAAACAAACAGCAGGGGTATTTTCATCCAACAATAGTGTAAAAATCTACTTAGAAAACACAAAATGAAGCAAAACCCCAAACTTTTTACACTTGGATAGGTAAATTCATGAAATAATCACAATATCACATAGATATAGTAGGAAAATTCGTATGATCACATTCCATGGCTGTTGAATTACTTTAATAATAAAAAGCAGTAATAGTTATTTCACCTCCAGGATAGCCAGATCCAAACTCCCTATGAATGTTTCCAGCAGTTTCATCAAAGACCCAATTTCTCAATGCTCGTTCCCTTGTCACATGTATCATCAAATGGGTGATACTGTAATAATAGTGAGATCTATTTTGAAACACAACAAGTCGTCATTGAGTAACTGGAAATAAAATTCATATACCTTCACGGCTTATGGGTACAACAACAACCAAGTTCCACAATTTTTTGCAATCTAAGTGGGAGACGTGATACCCAAATAAGGAATTGTCTCAAAGCCATGCACATGCAATCGCTTTTTCCAATACATTGCAAGCTAATCACATTATGTTTTTTTTGGTAATAATATCTTCAAGTTCCAAAAAAATTTGCCCAGGCCCCTTGTATGGTCATCACTTAGACATAATATTTTTATGCCCTTAATTAACAGCTTAAAATATTTTTAATTTTGTGAAAATTAGAAAAACTCCGTATTGTAAAGATCATAATTAAACACCCTGCTGTTAGTATTGCAAAGCTCACAGTATCAGCAGCTACAAGATTCAGCCCATCACCCCCTGCTCTGCTGGAAATCATGAAGACAAATGCAGAGTCGGAATCAGCTTCGGAATTGGAATTTCCAATTCCGGACTTTCGGCTAAAACTCCGTATTGCAGCAAACCACTCTTCAGCTCTGATGGATCCATCAAGCCGATCATAAGGGTATTTTCTCAACTCCATATAGTCCTGTATTTCAAAATTTTCCAAAAAAGTTTAAGTTTAAATAATAACAGATGGATATACATAAGCACAGCTAACAGCTGGCAGTTTTTTTATGAAAAGATAAGGAAGTAAACCTGTAAGACATCAAGTGTATGTGTCATCTGTGCAAACAGAAGAACACGGTGTCCAGACGTATGTAGCTTCTAAAGTAGCTGGTCTAAGACTACCAGTTTGCCACTTGCCTGAAAGAAATCATAAAGATTTCAAATTTATTACTAACATTTTGTATGATTTTATAAATAAATAGAGATGATATATTTTTTATACCTGAACCAAGTGTTCACCATCTTCATATGGTTCTGGCTCTATACCAGCAAAGAGGTGAGGATGACTACCTGCTTTACGTAGTTGTATTACCTGCGTTAACACAAGCAATCAAATACTACTTCTCAAGTAATTTATATTTTTGGTTCCTGTACTATATTGTGTTCTTTGAATACGGTCCAAAAGGAATCTTTTTTTTTCATTTTAAGTCCCTAATGCAATGATTTATAACACTTTTTGTCCAGTCATCAAATTTATGAAAAATAACTAATTTACCCTTGTCTAATTTTGGTAAAAAAAACTAACAAGCCATGACAAAATGTTTACCTGCTAAATGATCATGATAGTAAGCATAGAAGGAGAGATGTTGGCTTACAATATTCTCCAAGGATTGATGGCTAAAAGTTCCAGAAGACAATGCTAGAAGCTTAGGAAGCTCTCTTCTTAGTATTGACATATACACCTTCTTCTGCAAGGTCACCAATGGAGCCATCCTGATAAAACAAAATGGAATTTGTTAACAAATTTTTTATCTAAAGTAATAATAAGGGTATTTCGGTCTTTCAATAAAAAGGAGGAATGGAATTGACAACGAAACAAACACGCACCATAACCGAATTAAAAGGTATATGAGAAAAGGTCGAAAAATCCCCTGCTGATGGTGGGCTGAACCTTTTTGCAGGTGCACCAAGTTTCCGATCAAATTCAGGCATGCCAGGGACAACAATGTCCAGAAAAGTTAGATCAGGGGTGTTATGGTCATTTACCGGTTTTCCACGTTCAACAACTAAGTTAGCTTATTCATGGAGATTGCTATCCACCCCTGCAGCAGTGCCAACAAAGCAGACCACAATGTCCACAAACATTTGAACCTAAGACCTTATTTAGGTGGTGTCTCGTATATGATGGAATCTGGAAAGTAATGTAATGGTTTGTTAATTTTAATTAAAATTATGTACATAAGTAAGTAATTGTATTTACATAAAAAATATAAAACTCATTTTATTTCATTCCTTCCTTTTTCCATTCCATGATTCCATTGGTTATTGGTGTTTAGCTGGTGTTCTTGATGGTTGGAATGAAATCCTTTATGCTCAAGTTTTGCCCAAACAATAGCAAAAGTTGTAAAGTAAGTGTAAATTAAATATGAATTACATTTTTTTTTCATTTTTTACAGAATATAGAAGATAGAAGATAAATAATATTGATATAATTCTTTTTCTTATAATTTTCATTTTTTTTTCATTTTTAGATGATGATTAATCTGTAAAGAAAAAACTTTCCAGTTATACAAAATACGTTTTACCTAGATTTGGGTCCACATCTATATTCCAAGAACTCCACATGTCATGGCTAAAGTAATCTTTCTGAAAAAAAAATTAACAAAAAGAAAGTGCCACTACCATCATCGCTACCACCACTGGTGTTTTCAAAAAATTTAAACTACAAAAACACAACAATCAAAATTTAACCTGATCCGGAAGAAGATAATGCTTAATAGAACACAGCTTGCCAATGAGGTCATACTGTCGACATTCAAAAATGATAATTGGTCACAAAATATTGTTAAAATAACTAAAAAGAACAATCATATTTGAAAAGGAAGGAGTAAAAGTTGGTTTGTTGATAATGTAAAGCCATATTTGAAGTAAGAAGCACTGTGTTGTTGGGGCCCCATGACTTGCGACTCCCCCCAATACTGATCCAAATCTGTTTTTGAAGTAAGAAGCACTGTGCATAAAGAAGATAACCATGCCCATTCCTCGTTTCATACTCTTCCAAAAATCAGATATGACAAGGAAAACATAGGCAACTTGATACATCAAAGGTGCATCAAGTATAAAAAAGATCAGGGAAACTGATATTAACACTGTCATATAGTAGTTTGGTGCACTGAACACTGTCACCACATTCTTGTCCTAATATCAATCAGAAAATTATTAATAAGCCTAATAACTATCATTAAAGAGGGATAGAGGGATGGAGGGCTAATTAAGTAAATATACATGACACCAAATTGAAACCCTCCATGAAAAGCTGGTGAGCTCTGGAGATGAGAGTAAGCCCATTTGTATAGTTGAAGTGAGACGCGATGTCTAGTCCGAATGTGTACCCAGCCCTATGTGGAGAAAAACCCCTACCCGCATCTATCATCTGGATCCGACCTTAACAGATCACACATTGTTCCTTCATGCGGGACCTACAAATTCTGAAACACACCAATTTAAGTATTACAATTTAAGTATCACTATCATCTAAGATTGTAGAATCAAGTGTTTATGATATGTGTATACTAACTCGGTCGTTCTTTTTTATAGCAAACATGGAGTCCCAACGACCTGTTGTATTAGTTCTAAGTGGAAAATCAAAAAGCGAGAAGGAATTTGCAAGGTCTTTAAAAGAAAGTTCATCCCTTAAAATCACAGATGATGTAAAGTTCCAAACCTATTTGCATTCTGAGATGGAAAAGCAATCGGAAAAAGATGAATTCAACATTGATACTTACATGGATCCTGAAATCACTAAAGAAGGGCATTGGTCCTTCAGAAAAAGATGAAAAAGCTGACTACTGAAGAAGGGCTTCGTGGATAAAATTGCAATCAAGCCCTAAATTGAATAGTTCTCCATTTAAAGAAAACACGGTATAGGGCTAAAGTTGATAATTTGGAAGAAAAAAGACGAAGAACAGAAGAATATGAGGTCAAAGTAACAGAATGGAATAAATAAAGGAAAATTCTTACCTTTTTCTTCAAACATAGGGTCAATTGACTTTCAATTTTTGGTGTTAGGGCTTAGCGATTGTAAGAGGAAGAAGACAGACGTACTCTCATAGATGATGGTTGTATGCGCTTGATTTTGCGAAGACGAGATAAAGGAAAGAACTAGGGTTTTCTTGTTGTAAGTCAGGGGAGAAGCTGATAAAGTAATTAGAGGAAAAGGGGGGAATCGCTCAAGAAGAAAAATAGGATGTCTTCATAAGATGGAAGGGAAAATTGGTTTAGAAGCTGGTCAAACATAATGAAATGTTGAAACATTTGGAAACAACTTCTCCCAAATGGTTGGAGAAGATGGTCGGAGACAGTTGGCGGTGTGAGATCGGAGGTTGGGTGGTGGTGCGATGCTGCTATGAAGACCAACGCCCTAGGGCTTTTTCTTGCTAATCGGAAGAGGTGGGGGGTTTAATTTTTGGGATCCAATATAGGCAGGTGAAATCTCGCTTAAAACGCGTGTTTCATTAAAAAATTATAAAGCAACACTCTTAGATGTCACACGTTTTATGAAAGGTGCCCTCCGCATTTTTTTTTTCTTTTCTGACACTAATTTTAGGGCACGCACAAATGCGGTGCCCTCTATCCTTCATATTTTGCAAAACTGACATTATTTTTTAGGGTACGCACAAATGTGTATCGTCTATCAGCGCGTGTCATTGTTTGCGCGTCATTAAAGGGCTTTTTTCTAGTAGTGTGGGGAACTTATAAACATAAAAGATAGCTAGAAATACATAGCTTGTATTAATTTGGATTCCTTGAAAACCTTGTGAGCCTAGCACCCCAAGTGTGATGCCTCAAATGTCTCACACAACACCAAATGCACTTGGAATAAACTTGAGAGAAATGTCACACTTGTAAAATCGGCTTGCCCTCTCTGTTCTTACTTAAGTGCTGATTTTGGTGAACATAAGGAGCCTTATATCGTGTGTTACAATTAGGGTTACACCATGTAAACCCTAATTGTAATGACTTTTCATTTCCATGACCCATGGGTTCAACAACCACCATGGAGCATCCTATGGTTTTAGCCCAACTTGATAATCCATGAAGCATTAGCCCACTATATAAGTATCGATGATTTACACAATCAACCCATATATTTAATTACTATCCTTTTTTATCGCTTAATTAATTCTAAATTAATCTTGATCAATACTAATTAAATAATATTATTAATATATTAGAACTTATAATATATTAATAAACCATAATTGTTATTTCTCTCATTTTATTCTATCCAAATACATGATGCCATGCAACCCAAATGGACCATGCCAAACCGGGTCAAGTACATACCAGAAATAGTTATGGACTTAGACACCTTATCCAACAGTCTCCCAATTGGATAAGTCTGATAACTATAACTACAAGTATGACTTCAGGAACCGATCAGCAATCGTAGCTCTTTCAAGGTCTCTCGGAACTGAGATGATGATGATACGAAGTGATCATATAATCCTTTGTTCTATATATCTGTCGGACAAATACATGGAACAATGTCCTACTTATTATCCAGCAGTTTGTTTCTCGATTTCTGTTTTATTTGACAAAAAAACTTAATCGAACACATCAATTTAGTTCTGAACAGGCCCGATACATAGGTCAAACAAACTCATTGAGGGGCCTATATATCGCTTCTAATCCAAGAAGGAACAGATAAACTTCGACTCATATGTGTAACACCCATAAAATTCAAGCCAATTTAAAACTTCTTAAAACATTTCAAAACACGTGGTTATTACAAAACTTGATTTCAAACTAGAATATTGTCAGAGTACCCCATAATCAAATCATGAAATCATAAAAGGTGTGGAGCGGTATGATCACGCCTTCGCCTTCCCGCGGTCATCAAAAGTACCTGAAACAATAATCGATAAATGTAAGCTCGAAGGCTTAGTGAGTTACCCCCAAAATACCAATGTCATATAGATATAACCATATCATCTAAGTAAGCAGATACATAACTAGCCATCAGTATAACTGGACCAAATCCCGATCCTCAGTTTATGTGGACCGCTCTTCGAGCCCTCGACATGTCTGGACCGCCCTCCTCAGGGTTTTTAGCCTATCCGGACCGCTCTCTAGGCCTTCGCCCTGACTACATTTTCCTGACCCGGGCCTGCAGTCTACCCGGTCAGCCCAGGGTGTCTTGGCCTATAGCACACAGCAGGACCGGCCTCAACCCTTTCCCCAAACCAATAAGCATGTGCACATAAACATCATACACTAGCATGGAATATCAGATAATCATACTGATCTAACATATCACTAATAATGTCAACCATCCTATAACCAGGATATTGATCTAACCGATCTCTAATATAGAAACCATCGTACAACCAGGATATCTAACAGATTACTAGCATAGCAACCATCCTAAAACCAGGATGAAATCTAACATTTTAATAACATAGAAACCATCTTAACCCAGGATGTAAATCATAAAGCACCGACCTTGGTGCCTTAGACCCTGTTGATATAGTGAGGATAATTCACCTCATGGTGTCGCACTGAAGTGATAGGCTCAGACTCTCGAATCACCAACACGAACTTCACCACCTATAATCAACACAAAACCCTTTTCCATAAATTTCCAATTTAACAAAATACCCCTAGAGGTGAACTGGTCAACCCTTGGTCAAAGTCAACAGTCCATGCTGACCCGACTTGTCGAGTGGAGTTCACAGACTCGTTGAGTCCTTCCTAAACTTGAGAAGTCGTGAAATCATTGGTTGACTCGTCGAGTTTTCCTATAACTCACCAAGTTTGTGTGTGTCCAAAGGTTGGGAAAACCCAATCCGACTCATCGAGTCATTCGACTGACTAGCCGAGTCCAAGGCAATCTCCATCGTACTCGCCGAGTTGTTCATCAACTCATTGAGTTCATGGCCATCTTCATATGAATCGCCGAGTCGACCTTGCGACTCGCCGAGTCCCTTCAA